GCATAGATTATATCAGCTTGAATGAGAGAGTCAATAAGTTCGATTACATCGGTGGCAAAAGATACTAAGTTAGTGGTGGTAGATCTGCCACTAGCAAATCCATGTTGTTCAGGTATCAATATTTGTTTTATATGATGAGTGAACACAGGATACATAAGTGATTCTAGTAGCTTTGCAAATACCGGCAGAATGGATATTGGCCTGTAATTAATTACGAATGTCGAGTCTCCGGACTTGTGAATAGGCACTATAATAGTCTCCTTCCAAATTTTAGGAAATACTCCAGAGGACAAAGATTTACCAAAAATAACAGAAAGAGGAAAGGAGAGTACTTTAGCACAGTTGCATACAAATAGTGATGGTATGCCATCTGATCCGGCTCCTTTAAAACGGTCAAGCCCTTTTATAGCATTCAAAACCTTATCTTGGGAAAAAAGTATTTAAATAGTTGGAACTTTTTATATATTTGTTTCTTAGGTTTTCACGCACATCACTCATTAAATAAAACTAGTTTTTACGGGTTAATGCACGAAAACTTTATTTATTTATTGACGTTTCGCAGCCTTTTCAGGTCTGCATCGTCAGAATAATGATTTTATTTAAAATTGTCGAGCTACCTTCGAAAGAATTATATTGAGCGTTCGGTTATTTCATTGGAAGATTTTTAAAATTTTATTGTCTATGTATGAATTTATTATTTAATTTACTTAATAAAGTATTTTATTTAAAATTCTTGTTTGTAATTTTGAGTTTATTTATTTGACCCTAACTACCGTAAACTACCACCGGTTCCAAAATTGGGAGACCTTCCTGAGAAGAACCGGCGAAACAAACTCAAGAGAGGCTTTCTATCTCCTTCTTATGTTAAATTATGCAAACAAAAAGAACTAATAGTATCAGATGGTCTTGCAGTGTGTGCTCGGGGTTGGGATTTTATCTCCTGTATAATAGGTTCCCAAGCTGGTGGTATATACCAATCATCTATATATCAATCATACCATCTTCCCTATTGAAATTTGGATATTTTTTTATCTCAATAGCCTCGCGCATCATTCGAGGAACGAACCGCCGCTCAGCTGCAAGGATCTGTAGTCTATCAAATCTAAAGTAGTGGTTTGGTCCCCCTAATGCATGTTCACACACTGCAGATTTATTTTCGCGCCTATGTTTCATATACTTTTTATAGGGTTATCCAGTAAATCTAAGTTAATATTTAGACTATGGTCTTCGTATACAGAGAAGAAATACGATTCCATTGTTTCGCATATTTCAGGGCCGGTTGAAACTACTGTGTCTTTAAAAAACATTCTAGAGGGATAAATACTACTATTTCGTCTTTTTTGCTTCATATAAGACCAAAAAAATTTTGCATTGGATGCGATAGAAGATTCAATGTTAGTTAAATATTTATTATAGCATAAAATACTCATAGCAGTGAATCTCTTTTTTAATGTATTGTATATTACGTTATCTAAAGGATTTTTGTATTTGTTGAATCGTTTACGATATTTGTATTTTTCGTGAATAATTATTAGATCTGTGCTGTTGTTTTGGTACAAATTTTTCGATAACAGTCCTTATTATCCACACCCAAACAAAACTCCTCATTCCAGTCAACTAAACTAAGATATGAAACAATTTTTTCATAGTCAGCTTTAATGAAGTTAATTTTTTTATGGTTAGCGTTCTTTGGCAAGCAAATTTGAGAACCAGGTAACGATAAATTGAAACTGATAGGCGGGTGGTGTAAGTCTACGTTTACCAATTGCATAGAAAGAATTGATGAGATTATCAACTACAAGATTTGTTATTTTTATTTCGTATATACTTATGTTGGTTCAAGTTATTTAATAAAATGAAGTCTAAAAACATTTGTGAAATGAAATTATTTGTAATTGATATACCCTTTAGGTGACGATTGTCGGATCCAGACCACTGTATGCTGGACATGTTAAAGTCTCCCACTAATAAAACATTCTTATATTTTTCCATAACCTTACTACAATTTTCAATGAAATGTTCTGTAATATGGCTTTGTAAAGGTGGAGGTAAATATGCACAGCATAAAATGATCTTTTCCGTTTTATCGTTATTTTTTTTAATTCTATTTCGATCCAAATATCCTCGCATTTACTTTTCAAATGTAGTAATCTAACCGAAGGTATTTTCTTCGAGATTGCAATTAATATTCCGCCACCTTCTTTCTTTGGGAAAAACCCACTTGATTCTCGATCACGTCTGTATACGGTGTAGCGATTTGTTAATAATTCGTGATCGTATACACTACTATTCAACCACGTTTCGACTAATTTATGTATGTCATAATCACAACATGCAGATCTTTTATATAAAGTGTCAGATTTAGTTCGTAAGCCTATTACATTTTGAAAATAAATATTTAATTTAGTGGAAGTGAATTTAAATGTATTTAATGATATAATAATCAAGCTCTGGCACACAATAAATAAATAATAATGGAGGAAATTAAAAAGATTACAATTTTAACTTATAATGTCTCCAAGTTGCGTACGTAAATTATCTCTGAATCTTCATTTTTGCGAAGAAAAATACGTCCATTGCGGACCCAAGTAAATTAAACTTCAATTCTTTTGCCTTTAGCCGTGCAGCAGCATGAATATTCTTGTACTCTGGTGATAGGTTTTCAGTAATAAATATAGGTTCCTTTTTGTCAGAGCATATTCGCTATGTGCGAAGTACATGGTGGGGGTATTGTGAAACGATCGCAGCGCTTATCGTGGCAGAAATACGCAACAATCCGGGAAAGTAAAGTCAATTTGCACGGAGTTCGTAATAAATAAATTTTTTAAAAAGCCTAATAATAGATGTTGTTGTGTTGTGAACTGCAAAAATAACGGCACAAATAGTCTGTGTTTATATTTCCTACATTGGACTGGAAATTAAATCAAAGAAATAAGTGGATAGATGCCATAAAAAGAAATAAGTAAGCGAAATAACCATAAATTATGATCAATTTTATTTGCGCTATATTTTATGTGATATTCATTATTTTCTTTATTATTTTAGTGTAGATGGGTCACCATGGTATCCCAAACCTGACGACACAATTTGTAGTGAACATTTTATGGGAAAAAAAATCAGACGAGGAAGAAAATCCGAGTTATGCTCCTTCGAATATTCCCTGAAATATATCGAAAGAGGAAGGTTAATGATTCACAGGTCCTAGCTAGATATACACACTTGACAAAACGATGAACCACAAAGATACCACATCAAGTCAAATAATAATTAAATCAAACTCAACCTTTTATGGTCGATCAAGTATGTCAAGTCAATATGTTTTCTGAATCGAAATTAAGAGATACAATTTTTATTTGTATTAGATTAATTTACAACGATCACTGTGATGCTGAAATCCAAGCAGATATAGCAACATCAAGAATTTTAATGACAAATAATTTAAGAAATAAAGATAAAAGCTGTGGCACTGACAAAAAATCGTATGAGGATCAATCTACCGAAACAAAAAGTCAAGAATTTGTTGGTATTTCATCAATAAAAAATGATCAAGAACTCCTAGATCTTGCTGGTGTGTCATTTAGCAATTTTGAGTTTTTATTAACTATAAAAAAAACTGTACAGTTTCCACTAAAGACCGACTTCTGATTTTTTTGATAACAATGAAAACTGGCTTGACATTTTCAGCATTGAGTGTGTTATTTGGTGTACACAAAACCACAATCTCACGTATATTTCATTCGATCTTACAAAATGTAGCTTGTTCAACTGCTAATTTAATCTTTTGGCGGAATAGAGCCACCGTACAAGCAACAATGCCCAAGTGTTTCAGTCCAGATTACATCAATACAAGAGTTATTATTGACTGTACTGAATTCCGAATTGAAATCCGACAGTATTTAAATTATTATACAATATATAATATTTTTCATTTATCTTTAATTTACTATAGTTACTAGAAATCAATAAAATACAAACTGATGTCATTATTTGGCATAATCCCGGAAAGTTGCGCATTGTAGGTGGCGCTACTGTCGTGCACATAGCGAATACCAAGATTTAGCTTGTCATCGGTGTGATTTTTATTGAATTGTATCACTGAGGCAAAAAAAAGTATCTCTGATTCTTGGTGTTATAAACTTCACAAGTATAGTGCGAGGACGTTTACTTGCCTGGTTTTTTTTTGCTATTCGGGAACAATAAGATATTTCATGCTCGTTCACTTTTATGCCTGTAACTGAACCAATCTGCTGTATGATGTTCATAATATTCTCTGATTTAAACTCGGGAACACATTGAATTTCTAGATTCGAGGCTTTGGATAGCTGATCTATTTGATTGAGACGTGAGGACGTGTTGGACAATTCAGAGCGCAGGAATTCATTTTCTTTTTTTAAATTACTTACTTGTTTGTTGTTATTGTTTACATCACTGTTTAATTTATCAAACTGATCATTAACGAAATTGAGGGAAGTCTTAAATTCCTAAATTTGTTCTGAAAATTCTCGTAGCCTATTGTCCAAAGTGTTATTTATTTTGCCCATAAATTCTGTCATCATATTCCTCATTTCATCTCGAAATTCTAATATGTCGGAGCTGGTTGCATGATCGGAGATTTGCGTACATTGAGTAGTGGTTGGTTCCGGTTTGTTATTCGCCTTACGCCGGGCCACGTTAAAAGTTATCTCTGCTAGGCCGGTCGGAGTCGTAGGTCGCACTGGTATGTCTTCATTTGCGCCTTTACGTTGCTTGTTTAAACAGTGAGGACATATCCATTTTTCTTTGTATTCCTGAGTGAATTGCTTAGAATCCCTCGTTGAGACGCCAAGACAGGTGGTGGTACTTTTGTTTACAGCGTAAACATTCCAAATAATCATTTTTCCCGATACTTTCGGTACAAGCGTGGCATTGAGACAGTAATAAATAACTTGTTGAGTACGTTTGGCCTCTTACGGTAATGTGCGATAGCACTATGTTTTTTTTTTCGCTTCGGGTGTTATTCAATGTGCGAGCGTGACAGCAATTATTCCTTCAGACTTCTCGCAGCTGATCGGTGAGGTATGAGGACACCCCTCTCGCTGCTGTTGTCCGTTGCGATCCCCACTATCCTTGCGCACCTTTGGCGCCAAATATTGTTCACTTTTTACTTGTAAACACTGCACTCGATTGTAGTTCTTAAGTGCTAACTACAATAAACTCCAGAGTTGTGTCGCTTGTTTAAACAATTTATATAATATACTGGAAAATAAAATTAAGTATTAAAAATATTGAAAATCGGTTTAAAGAAAAAAAGTTCATGTTGCTTCTCTTTTGATGAGTATATTAAAATAGAGCAGTGGCGGACTAACAGGGGGGCGGAAGGGGCGGCCCGCCCCGGGCCTCCAATCTTGGGGGGCCCCCAAATGCCTCTGCGTTCTCCTGTTCAAATCCTAAACTAGACTTTAAAAATGTGCTTAGTACCTACACAATTTCATCATGATCAAAACACTACAGACATCTAGACTTTTTACGCGGTACTAATATTCTTTTTACTTCGCTGAACGCGTCCAATACGCTGGGGGAATTCCCGTCTCTGTAGCGGGTACTTCCTCAGGAATCCCTGAATGAATGAAGTACAAATAATTCACTCTTGTTCGCCTACATTTATTAACATTCACTATATTTACGTCGAAAAATAAACATTGGTCTCATTTAAAATCCGTTCAAAGTAACCTCATTAATAAGTGTAATTGTAGTGTTCTTGATTTTTGTTGCGGTATAAAAGTAAATGAGTTAAGAGTTGAGTTAGTGCATTTTTAAGTATTTGGAAAAAATTTAAAATAAGTAAAATTTAGCCTAGAAATCATAATCCGTAATTTCTAGTCAATATGCACCTACGTTTCTAGTCAATATGTTCCATATTATGTATGGAACATATTGTGTATGTGTGTGTGGTATGTATGTTTATTTAGCCGAAATAATTTAATTGGAATTTAAATTTCATTTGGGGGGCCTCATTCAGCTTTGCCGCCCCGGGCCTCAGACGAGCTTCGTCCGCCACTGAAATAGAGACGTTTTTTTTACGTAACAAACGGCTATAAAGTTTATTTTAGACAAGAAAAATATTGAGACAGTAGGTACTCTGCTCAGTTTAGTATTTTTCAAAGAGGGTTTTGTATTGGAGGCACTTTATTATGAGCGGACGCGAGCTAAGGGAAATTTGAGAAATAGCTATTTGAAAAAGCTATTGCCGTCACGCATTGGCAAATACCGTGCGATAGGGACAACAGTAGTTAACGCTAAAATTGCAAAATTCCGAGGTTTAGCTCTCGACGATTTCCTCCTCGAAAATAAGATATATGTAAAAGAAAATTTACCCATAGAATAATAAGTAGTTGAACTATGCTTTTATGTTTTGCTTTTTTTGTAAATGCTTATTAAATCTCCACACTAGACGTCTTTAGTGGAGATAAAAAATGATTATTTTCGACATTTCTGAAGGCTTTTAGTTTCTTTGAAACACAAGTTATGGAAAAAAGGAAAATATAGAACCATAGAAGTAAAATTATATTTTATGTACGAAAATCAATTCTTTAGTGATAAAAATCAAGGAGGAATCAGTCGAGAACGTATGTATGGAAAAAAATATTGCACGCCTCCCTCTTAAGATAAAATGCTGTTCACTAAAGATGCATATATAATACTCAGACCAAATAAAAAGTAAAGACGGAGTCTGCCGAACCAAAAAGTGAAGCCGGTTTTTTATGTATGTAGTGCATTAGCCAGTGTTACCATAGTTATATAAAACACCCCAATATTAGAAAAATGTAATAACGTTATTCCATAACGTTATTAATAACGTTATAAAATATTAGAAAAAAATATCGTAAGCTTATTCTCTAAACCTCTCGTGAGCCAAAGGTCATGCGCCGTTCTCACCTACAAGTGCCGGACTTCTTTATGGACCGCCCGCCCGTGGGTGGGAACGATTGCATTGTTCTGCCGATTTCTCTGTTATTTTGTAAAAATACCCTTCACAAACGTATATTTGGATTCTCCATAAAATTTTCAATAAAACAGTGTGTACACAATGCGTCATGTCTATAATTTATTTTAATTACATTATGGTAAACTCAGGAAAGATAAAAAAAGTCGTTTAAATAGGTAAAATGAGGTATATTTTCAAAATTTGTAAATTATAAATCCAGGTTTTTGTACATATAGAATGTACTATATATAAATGAATGTATATAATAACTTACCAAATATAATTATAAAATATAACACGCAACAGAAAAAAAAGGGTCGTGTTTCAAGTGTTGATAAAAACAAATGCGAGATCCAAGTGCCTTGATTTATGTGTTGACGTTTAATTATGTTGGATTGTTTATTTTACTTTAGTTACAAGTCTCGGATGGAATAGGTTTGTACATTTTATAGTTTCAAGCACTCGCAACAAGGCATCCAAGCACGATATGCCGCTTGCTTACGCGAAGCAGCTTCAGCACAATCGTGATTGAACCAGAGGTTACGCGTGCCCTTACTGATGAGATCAGAATGAGGAATATAGTATTCCATACCCATTATAATCTCCTCAGTAATGGCAACGGCACTGGCCGATAGGTCCCTGTCACTGAAGCAGCGCTGCTTCCAGGGGACGGACGCAAAGTAGTCACGCATACCGTCCCAATCTGCCGACCCATAATGCCAGATACGGCGCTTGACCACTGCTGGACGCGGAGGCTTGGCCTGTGGTGCTTTGGCAGATATCAGGCAGTGGTCTGACGAGCCCAGGGGGGCTCTTACCACAACCTGATAGCCCTGTGGATGGGTCGTGAGCAGAAGGTCCAGTAAAGAAGGCGCTTGACTTGGAATATCTGGGATCCTGGTGGGCTGATCAACCAGTTGCTTCAAGTCATGCGTGAGAGCGAATGCGTGAGCAGAGATCCCTGCATGGTCAGTTTTGGAGGAACTTAACCACAAATTGTGGTGAGCATTAAAGTCCCCCAAAAACACCAATTCTGCATTGGGAAATTGTTCCTGCGCGTCATCTGCTGCCCGACTAAGGTGTTCAAAAAGTCGAGTTGTCTCAACATCGCCGGTGTGGGATCTGTAGAGACACACGTAAACTCTGGCCAGAGGGCCAGAGTCGACGTGTACCCCCAGCATGGAGAAGGAAGGATCTTCCAAGCAGCGGAGACGGCGACAACAAACATCCGCCCGAACATACAGGCATACACCGGCTTTCGCTTTGAAGGACTCTTCAAGCACGTAGCCGGGATAATTAAGGTAGCCTGTGTCAGCAGGCGGAAGTATTTGTGTCTCCGTCAGGAACAACAATGCTGGCCGTGCTGTCTCAAGATGGTGGTGGACAGCGTTGAGGTTAGAGTGGAGTCCGCGTATGTTGCAGAACTCGACCTCAAACAGCGTTGAAGGCGTGGGGGTGTGCACCGCTGAACGTCCAAACTTTGTTTTAGGAGCTGCCATTATGGAAGTGAAAAAGAGACGTGAAACGAGTGGACGTTGTCGCGACAAGACCGGGCAAATTAGGGAGGCATGTTTCCCCGAATGATTGCCTGCAGAGGATATACGCCGACCCGCCGGACGGAAGGGCCCCCGCACCCCCCCGGAAGTGGCCGCCGGGACCCCACGCCCCGGTCACCAACCGGCACGACGGTCCACCCCGAGATTATGCGTGACATGATGGGGCAGCCTCGCGAACTGGTTAGGAACGCTCGGGCCCCTATACTGTGCCACGGGCGGCCAGCGGGACAGCCGTTTCTACGGGTCTCCCTGGCCGACGGGTCGATGCAGTCCTCCCGGCATCGGTTCCACGGATGCCTCCCCTGGACCGAATCCGTCGCGACAACCTCCACTCGAGCCCTGGTTGTACGCTGGCTGACCCCGAAACGCGCGAGAAGCACTTCACGGGTTTTTCACCATGCGCACGGTGGTAACAAACCAGGCGGGTGTTAGGCACCCTACCACCAGCAGAGCGGATGGAAGCTCCGATATCCCTTAGTCGCCTCTTACGACACCCACGGGAAGAGAAGGGGCGGTGAGTTGTATTCTTTCTCCGTCACCGCACGGATAGATCCTTCCGATCGATGGATTGAAACTGAGCCAAGGTTTCATTTTGTCTACCACAACGACTGACTTATACTTGCGTCCCTTCTTACGAGTTATGGGTGTGTCCTCTATACAATATCTATCATTCCCAAGTACCGAAGTCACGCGATATGGTCCCTGATATTTTGGAACTAATTTTCGACTTTGACCTGACGACGGGATTTCCCTCTCTATGCTTATTAAATCCCCTACCTGAAACGTTTTAGGTCTAACACTCTTTAAATCGTAGTGAGATTTTTGTTTTTCTTGATAGTTAGTTATGTATTCATTTATCTTTTCGTGTATATCAATGAGGGAGTATTTGTTATTGACATCATCAAGTGAATTCTTTAATCTACTTTCATTAGTGCCTATTAGGGTGGTACCGAAAAGCGCCTCTGAGGGCGTGCGACCAATACCTTTGTTCAAAGTATTGTTCAGTCCGAATTGCACGTCTGGAACAAAAGAGTCCCATTTCTTCTCATCATGTCCCGCACACTTAAATTTTGAGCTCGTGAATGAAGAGCCTCTGTCCGATACGACTCTTCTACTAACCCCGAATATACTAAAGAACTCTCGTAACTTATCGACAACTATTGACGTTTTTGTACTTCTTATCGGCTTTAAAATTATAAACTTTGTATACGCATCGATAATCACTAGTAGATGAGTATTGCCTTTAGAGCTTTTGACGAATGGACCAACATGATCAATATGTAAAGTAGCAAAAGGGGAATCAATTTTAGGTATGGGATGCAATGGTGGTCTTCTTTTAGATGAAGATTTTGTATATGCACATTCTAAACATGAATCGACGTACTTTTTGACGAAACGCCGCATCTTACTGAACCAATAAGTTTCTTTAATTTTAGCAAGCGTCTTATCAAAAGCAAAATGACCAATGTCATCATGACATTGTTTGAGTATCTGCCAACGGACGCCTTTGGGTACTACCCACCTGTTACCCTCATCAGTGACACGATATAGTCTAAAATGTCGGCAGAGGTTGGGTCCTTTAATATCGAAATTTTTCTTTGTATTTCGGAATCTGCCTGTTGAACTGTACTCAACCAATCATCTGAAGATACCACCATTACATCGATAGAGTTATCTACACTTGGCGCAGAGTAATTCCCAGGTAGTGGATTTCTACTTAGAGCGTCGACATAGGTCATTGATTTTCCAGGGCGATATTCTATTGTAAAATTAAACTCTTGTATAGAAATCCACCACCGGGCGACTCTCGGAATTAAATCGCGTTTCAAAAATGTAGCTCGTAGTGAATTGCAATCAGTCAATACTTTAAATTCAATACCTATTAAATAGACACGGAAACGCTGGAGTGAAGCTACAAGAGCAAGAGTCTCAAGTTCATATGACGACATATGCTGTTCGTCTGTAGTGGTCTGTCTACTGTAATAAGCTACAGGTTTGAGTATGTCATTGTCGCTTCTTTGCAAGAGTATGCCAGCAATGCCTATTTTGCAAGCATCAGTGTGCAGTTCGGTTTTCGCATTTGGGTTATATAAGGCAAGAGTTGGCTTGCGTAAAAGTTCGTCTTTTAAAATATTGAATGCTTGAACCTGTTCTACGCCCCATACCCATTTAGCATCTTTTCTAAGTAGGTATGTTATTGGTTTAGCTATGACGGAGAAGTTTTTAACAAAACGCCTAAAGAAACTACACAAACCTACGAACTGACGAACGCCATGTTGGTTTTTAGGTTCTGGAAAATCACGGACTGCCTCTATTTTCCTGCTTCCAGGCCTAATACCTTCCCGACTAACTTCGAAACCTAGATACTCGACTGATTTACAAAAGAAACAACATTTACTGAGTTTAAGCGTTAGACCTGCCTCTTGAAGTAGTTCTAAAATTTTGTGCAACTTAGCAACCCTTCTTCTATTGTCTTAGACGGGATAATAATGTCGTCCATATACGCAGAAGCACTACCCCTAGCATTACTTAAAACCATATTAATCATCCTCATGAAATTAGAGGGTGCGTTTGCTAAGCCGAAGGGCATTCGAGTTAACTCATATTGTCCGTCAGGAGTAACAAACAATGTCTTTGGACGATCCTGATCCCTAATAGCAATCTGATAGTAACCAGACGCAAGATCAAGAGTCGTATAATACTCGTAACCGGCAAGATCATCTGCGTTTTCCTATTTAGGGCCCTATAGTCTACACATAATCTAGCATCGCCATTTTTCTTTTTTACAATAACAATCGGACTAGCATATGATGACGACGACGGTCTGACAATATCACAATCAATCAATTCCTGGACCATTTCTCTAACTTTAGCTCTCTCGCTGAATGGCAAACGATATGGTCTATACACTACTGGTTAGTCATCCTTTAAATTAATTGACATCTCAATTACGTTAGTTTTACCTAATTCCTGTAAACTGAACGCAAAACACTTACGATATTGATTCAGCAGGCGTAGTAGCGAGTCTATGGTATCTTTACTTAACGAGCTTAGATTATTAATATCGTCTATGGTAATAGATGTTTTTGTCTCGGAAGAATCAATACAAAGGACATTATGTTTACGTTCAATTTTAGAAACAACGTCCGCTCGTCTACACCTCGCTAGTATGGCACCCTTTTGTATCATAAATGGTTGATTAGACAAGCCCTGTAACAATGCAACGCCGCACCCTTCTACGGCAGAGAAGACGCCTTGAACCAAATAATATTCGTGACCTAGCCTATGTCGGTTACTACCTTCTATGTATAAGTCGCCGGTATAAACCGGTTCAGTCTTGAACTGTACCAAAGTAAAGCCGTTTACAGTTACGTTATCTTTGCAAAACAAAATTAGTTTAGATTTATCTGGGGTCTTACCTGACCGTATAGTCAAATTAATACTATCCTTTTCTATTATTATATGCGGCTGCTCTGTAAACGACCTACCAATCAATAACGACTCTTGTAATAAATGATCGGGAACAACAAGAAGATCCACTTCAGCCTTAGCTTGATCTATCTCAATCTCGACTGAACATACACCTAATGGTTTAACGAACGAGTCCCCGAACCCCCTTAGAATAGGTAAAGTGGTCGTGTTAATTATTTTGACTTTAATGTCATTTACGTCAGATTCTTTAATAAGGGAAGCAGAACTACCCAAGTCCACGAAACACGATTTTTGTACCCCATTTACGAGAGCTTGCATATGATATTTGGAATCGGGAGAATCTAGACCCGCTACAAGCAAGACTGGTTTCGAAAGAGTTTTAGCAGGTACGTTACCATTATTATAGCTATTGTATTTTGTTGTTTCGTTACACTTTTCGGTCGTATGACCGTACCTAAAACATTTCTGACATTTCATTATAAGTTTGGGGCACTGAGATATATAATGACCTTGTTGCTGACAGTTAAAACAGAAGATAGTTCGCTCCCTAACGTCTTTGTTTCCTATATTCCTATCAATTTTTGTATCGTTAATACGTATGCGTTTCCTATCGATATTCATATTCGAACCACCCATATTACGTACACATTTCAGATATGGAAGCAGTTGATCTGGTGTTTCAAACCGAGCTGCTTCTGCCCCAAGCCTTACGCCACGATCATCAATACCGTATATTATACAGTCTACTGCATTTTTGCCTACAATGTTACAACGATTCAACAATACAACCTTTTCATAAAAATACTCCTCTAACGATTCATGAAACCTGGCACGTCTATTTAACATATTTGATAGAAGCAACCCGTAATTGTCGTTGCTAGGAAAAGCTAACCTTAGTTTGTGTTGCCATTCGGGCCAAGAATACATAACGGTAGTTAGGCCGTGATACAATTTTTGTGCAATACCTTTAAGCTTAGGAAGGGCAAAATGAATAGTTTGCCTATCTGTCCAGTTATAAATAGCAGAACATTCATTAACTTTGTGTATCCACATCTCTATAGTTTGTTCTCTATGAGTAGGATCAAATTCAGGGATAGTATTAAGGTGCGATAAGCTATCGTTATTTGTAGTTCTACCGATTGACTGTAATACTTGCATCAATTGAGATGCAGTTACGTTATTTCAAACTGCTACTAGGATCCGAATATCTATTAACTCCTATTTCTGGTTGTAAATTTTGATTGAATGTTTTCGAAAGAGGCTCTAACGATTGACACGGGCTAATCGTTGGGTTCTGGCTTTGGTGAACTACCACCCATCTATCCCGATCTACGGTGGGGCTTCGTACCTGGCGACTGATAGTATTGCTTTCGTGGCTGCAAACACCGCTGCGCTCGCGGTTGCGAACGCCACTGCACTCGCGGTTGCGGATGCCGCTGCGCTCGCAGCCACGGATACCTCTGCGCTCGCCGCGGCGGTCGCCACTGTGCTCGCAGCTACCGACGCCACGGCGCTCGTGGCTGCGGACGCCACTGCGCTCGCAGCTGCCGACGCCACTGCGGTCGCGGCTGCGGGCGCCACGGTGCTCGCGGCTGCGGACGCCACTGCGCTCGCGGCTGCCGACGCTAGAGCGCTCGCGGCTGCCGACGCCACTGCGCTCGCAGCCGCCGATGCCACGGCGCTCGCGGCTGCCGACACCATGGCGCTCGCGGCTGCTGACACCATGGCGCTCATGGCTGCGAACGCCACTGCGCTCGCGGCTGCCGACGCCACTGCGCTCGCGGCTGCCGACACCATGGCGCTCGCGGCTGCCGACACCATGGCGCTCGCGGCTGCCGACGCCTCGGCGCTCGCGGCTGCGGACGCCACTGCGCTCGCGGCTGCGGACGCCACTGCGCTCGCGGCTGCCGACGCCAGAGCGCTCGCGGCTGCCGACGCCATTGCGCTCGCAGCCGCCGACGCCACGGCGCTCGCGGCTGCTGACACCATGGCGCTCGTGGCTGCGAACGCCACTGCGCTCGCGGCTGCCGACGCCACTGCGCTCGCGGCTGCCGACGCCACTGCGCTCGCGGCTGCCGACACCATGGCGCTCGCGGCTACCGACGCCTCGGCGCTCGCGGCTGCGGACGCCACAGCGCTCGCGGCTGCGGACGCCACTGCGCTCGCGGCTGCCGACGCCACTGCGCTCGCGGCTGCCGACGCCACTGCGCTCGCGGCTGCCGACGCCTCGGCGCTCGCGGCTGCCGACACCATGGCGCTCGCGGCTGCCGACGCTTCGGCGCTCGCGGCTGCCGACGCTAGAGCGCTCGCGGCTGCCGACGCCACTGCGCTCGCAGCCGCCGACGCCACGGCGCTCGCGGCTGCTGACACCATGGCGCTCGCGGCTGCTGACACCATGGCGCTCGCGGCTGCGGACGCCACTGCGCTCGCGGCTGCAGACACCATGGCGCTCGCGGCTGCCGACGCTAGAGCGCTCGCGGCTGCCGACGCCACTGCGCTCGCAGCCGCCGACGCTACGGCGCTCGCGGCTGCTGACACCATGGCGCTCGCGGCTGCGGACGCCATGGCGCTCGCGGCTGCGGACGCCACTGCGCTCGCGGCTGCAGACACCATGGCGCTCGCGGCTGCCGACGCCTCGGCGCTCGCGGCTGCCGACGCTTCGGCGCTCACGGCTGCGGACGCCACTGCGCTCGCGGCTGCGGACGCCACTGCGCTCGCGGCTGCCGACGCCAGAGCGCTCGCGGCTGCCGACGCCATTGCGCTCGCAGCCGCCGACGCCACGGCGCTCGCGGCTGCTGACACCATGGCGCTCGTGGCTGCGGACGCCACTGCGCTCGCGGCTGCAGACACCATGGCGCTCGCGGCTGCCGACGCCTCGGCGCTCGCGGCTGCGGACGCCACTGCGCTCGCGGCTGCCGACGCCACTGCGCTCGCGGCTGCCGACGCCACTGCGCTCGCGGCTGCCGACGCCACTGCGCTCGCGGCTGCCGACGCCACTGCGCTCGCGGCTGCCGACGCCACTGCGCTCGCGGCTGCCGACGCCACTGCGCTCGCGGCTGCCGACGCCTCGGCGCTCGCGGCTGCCGACGCCTCGGCGCTCGCGGCTGCCGACACCATGGCGCTCGCGGCTGCTGACACCATGGCGCTCGTGGCTGCGAACGCCACTGCGCTCGCGGCTGCCGACGCCACTGCGCTCGCGGCTGCCGACACCATGGCGCTCGCGGCTGCCGACGCCTCGGCGCTCGCGGCTGCGGACGCCACAGCGCTCGCGGCTGCGGACGCCACTGCGCTCGCGGCTGCCGACGCCACTGCGCTCGCGGCTGCCGACGCCACTGCGCTCGCGGCTGCCGACGCCACTGCGCTCGCGGCTGCCGACGCCACTGCGCTCGCGGCTGCCGACGCCTCGGCGCTCGCGGCTGCCGACACCATGGCGCTCGCGGCTGCGCACGTTGCCGGAGTTCCCAATTATAGGGCTAAGTGAACGATTTCCACTTAGACTGCTCCCACTTCGCTCGGTATTATTAGCATGTTCCATTTCTGAAAATGGGCAAACAATCGCCACAGATATTGACCTCAACAAAGAGCGGAGAAAAAAAAATCGGGTAGTATACTAATAACACATCTAAAACTTGCTATCCAATATATATTCCAAAGAAAGAAAATTATCGTGTAAGATTATACCACATGCGAATAAATAAAATACTGGTCAGTAGGTAGTTGGAAAAGACAAGAAAACGATAATTGTAATCACTCATAGCTCATAAATTTCATTTATTTATTCATACCACAAGTGAATAAATAAAACACTGGATAGTAGGTAGTTGAGAAAGACAAGAAAACGGTAATTATAATCACTCATTGCTCATAAATTTCATTTACAGTACGGTTACGTTTAAATGTATGGGTAGTGTGAGAAAGAAAATTAATATATTAGGCAATTCCGTAAGTTTCCGACCTGCAGTGATTTTATTTAAAAAATCACGTTTATTCGAAATGAAATACCATACAACTGCGTTGACTTATCAAAATTTCAAATAGAATAAATCAAAAAAAAAGAAAACTTCTGTTTTCCATTTGTGAGCGGAGTATAGTAAGAAGACATTAATTGTAACTTACCGATCCCACTTCCGATTTGTAGGACTTGTAGAAAAACACTTTGGATTCGGACAATTATTTTAATTATATTCACAGTCACTAGCACAGTACTTCGACACTTTCCAACTTTACACTACCGAAGACACTTTAACACTGCCTGTCGCTCGCAGGCGACCCACGAGGAAAAGTAATATGGGTGGGGTTACATTTATTTTATGAAAAACTTAACTTCGCCTCAGTGGCGCCACTTCCGTTTAATAATGTCTATAATCATTTCATACTTTATAACATTGTAAGTCATTCTGAAAATCGTATTTTATTATTTATAGCAAAGGAAATACATAAGACAAATAATTTATATAAAATTCACAATCTTCTAATTTAAAAGTGGTTATCGACTAACCTACTCTTTATCAGTAGAAATACATCACGATCTTTACAATCAACCGACTTACTTATTCGTAGTAACACAATTATTTTACATATTTTACATAATATATTACTTAGGAATCACACTAGATTCTAAGCTGCAATGGGACTCACATATTGATAGATTGTCGAAGAGACTCAGTTCTACAGCATATAATGTAGTGAACAGAACCTCCTCCTTTTTTGAAGTCGGTTGAAAATACGTCAGTTAACGGATATCGAAAGTGCCAGATTAGTCTACTTTAGTTAGTTTTCATAAAAAACAAGGTACATGGTAACAATCCCGTTAATATCTATAATGTTAGTGACCATGAAAGTTTAAAACAATATATAGTTTTCATAGTGTAATGTCTTACGGTATATTCAAACAAATTTTAATCAATTTATAATCTTAAAGTTAAGGAATCCATGAGAGATAAGTTTGAAGAAATAGCCATAACGACGGTTGCATCACAATACATATATGGAAACTAAGTATTTTAAAAAAATATTAATTTATTTACTAAGAATTGTGAAATACACTTAATACTAGAAGAAATAATCATTTTTAAACTTTACCTGCTACTAGGCTCTACAGAATTAATAATTCCTTAAGAGGTCTCTGTGTTCGCTTATACAATAAAGTCCCAAGCAATATTCAAGAGTGGAACGGGTATTTCTATACAAGGACGTCGGTCGCCAAGGGGGGATCAAATGTAGCTAGCCGCAAAGCGTTCAAAGTGCGAGCAATTGACTTCCTTACCTTTTAATAAATTCCGCATCGCATGACAAAACGTAAATAAATTGACATAGTTTAATGTATATTGTAGAAAGTATTGAAATATTCAAAATAACATTAATATTCCGTTTTTAAAATCGCAACCATTTACATCACGACTATATCAGATTTGCCAAAACGCAAGGCCATTAAACAATGTAAAAATAAGTAGGTACGTGTGTTTGTGCATTGCATTTCTTTCTACGACAGCCGTTCACCAGCATTCACGTTAGTTTTTAACCGACTTCAAAAAAGGAGGTGGTTCTATGTTCGACTGTATATATTTTTTTATGTATGTTCACCGATTTCTCCGTCAATTGTGAACCGATTTCCAAAATTCTTTTTTTAATTCGATAGAGTGCACTTCCAAGGTGGTAACATTGGAACCAAGTCAGGATCTGATGGTGGAATCCGGGGAAATCGAGGGAACCCTTCAAATTTCAAAGGCACGCACGATGTTTTTTATGCATGTTCACCGATGTCTCCGTCAATTGTGTTGTTGTTTACTTGGACGATGTAATTTACACGAAAATGAATGAAATAAAAAAAAAATAAACAAAAAATAAAAACTGACTTTAAAATCGAAAATGGAACTAAAAAGTAAAAGGGCGGGGTCAAGATTGAAACATCATTAAATGGATTTTCGTTGATTTTAAATTATATATTTTATTTCTCATACAACACACAATTCGTTTAAAATTACGATACAAGTTATTTATTCACTTAGAAAATAAATAATCAAATTAAAATAAATATTTAAGGGCTTCAATATACAACTTACGTAATAAAAATAGTAACATTAACAATTTCACATTATAAAACTATAAAATACACTAACTATAAACAAATAAGTCTCTATCTAATTACATAATTACTATATATAAGTAAAATAATACTAGAACATATAAAAATAAAACTAAAACTAAAAACCTTAAAACATAAAATTAATAACTAAAAATATTATTAAAAGAAGTCCCTTTAGGCAAGGAACCGAAGATACTGGCAGCGTTACCTCTTTGAATGGCTAGACTAATTCTTTGTCCGAGGTAGCTGCCAGCTCTTCGGTCTCCTGTGACGTCGACTAACCTTTTTGCTATTTCCTTAAATAGCCTTAAAGCGCTAGGACCCCACGGACCAAGGGTCTCGACACCGAATGGGACAAAATCATATTCGGAGCCTAGACCCCTGTATTTGCTTGCTTTTGATTTTTCAGCCGCTTCACAAGCCAACAACAACAACAACAACTCTGTTGTTGGTTCCATGTAGATGGGAAGGGGTCAGCGTGTCTGAACAGGTTGCATCCCATACCAGCACCCGACCCATCTTCCATGGAATCAAACTCATACGGTCTGGTCTCTTACCATCGTCTCTTGCAATACCAGACGGCTCAAGTAGACTTGGCACGTTGACAGTGGCAAGGGACCGGCGTATGATATCATTAAGTGCGGCATGTGTCGAGAAGCGACCTGCACTTTTTTGGCATGACAGTCCGTGATGTCCTAGTTTGTCGACATCACTGCCACAGGGACATTTATGAGGAGCGCAGACCGGGACCCCAAGCCGTAGACAGGTTGCGATTCGGAGCGTGTCAGGCTCAAGAAATGTTCCTGTATTTGACGAGGGGTACGCGTGAAGCCAGTAGCCGGCCACGTGCGCACCCACGGCCAAAAGCCTAGCACGCGCCGAACATGTACTACAGCTCAAAAGGTTATCATATGTCAATTTACAGTTTATGTCATCCCAGCTCCTCTGTGAATTTGGAGAAACTGGAAAATTTTGACCTGGGCATGCAATTAAGAAAGCGTTTCTAACTTTTCGTTTCTGATCGGTAATAATACGTCTTTCAATCTTGACTCGCCCGACCCGACCAAATCATGAACCAGATATTAGTTTTTACTTTTTAGTTCCATTTTTGATTTTGAAGTCGGTTTTATTTTTAAGATTTGGATGCGAAATCGATTACACATAGCATAGATGAGTTTTTAACAAAAGAATATCTGAATGTAAATAAATGCGTTGGTTTTGATGGTTCTTCAACGTTGTCAGGAAAAGACGGAGGGGTACAAGCGATCTTACGCAAAAAGTACACCAAATCCCTCTACTTTCATTGCTCGTCCCACAAACTGAATCTAGTTATCAATGATCTTAATTCACTTCCTGAAATTAGAAATGCCATGGGAACCACCAAAGATACTATAAACCTTTTTTGGGAATCAGTTTTGAGGTTGAAGTTGATACCTAATATTTCCAGACTTTGGGAGACCGAAGATCGAGTGACCGATCGAGGTCGAAGACCGTGATGGAGTGAGAAACACAAAACCATCAGAGTTTTTAAAGAAAATCTTCCAGTAATTCTGGAAGCCTTACAAACATTATCTCAGCAATGAAACAGTGCAACTCAGAAAGTGAAAAGAAAAGTGCCTTCCACCTGCACGCGGCTACTTCCAGAATTTCTTTCATTCTCGGGATTATGTAGCCAAATACTCGGCTTTGATAGAACCCGTTGTCAACGTACTCCAATCTGTAGCTTTAGACGTGGTCAAAGCCTCGGAACACGTTAAAAAGATTTTACTTTTAATTAAAAACCATCGTGAAAATCCGGAAAAAGTGACAGATGAGGTTGTAAAGGAAGCTACTGCTGTAGCGGAGAAAGACGGACTGGAGGAGGACATTACATCAATGCCGCGTATTACGGCGAAACAACGTCATAGAAGCAATCATCCAGCAGGAAGCCCTTCAGAATACCGGAAGAGGTCTTTAGTAATACCATACTTGGATTCAATTATGACCTCCCTTGAAGTACGTTTTGCTGAAGAAAACACGCCATCATTCGCATTATCTAAATTTCACCCGCCGCAGATGCAATAGATGACAACTGAAAATCTGAATCAAACTTGTGAATCTATTGCCCAGTTTTATGATTTACCGAACATAAAGAATAAAGTGGAACTTTGGCAGCAATTGTAGCACGATAGGCTTAATCTAACAAATCGAACAGTTATTGATGTCCTAAAAGAAATAAATTCCTTCTTTCCCGAAACGGAAAAAGCATTGAAAATTTTGATCGCTTTACCATGCACAAGCTTTACAGTAGAGCGATCCTTTAGCAGCCTCAGAAGACTTAAAACATGACTAAGAAGCGCCATGGCAGAAGAATCGCCTTAATGGTCTGGCCATGATGAGTGTACACAGAGCTATATTGAATAAAAACCTAAATAATTTTAATGATAAAGTGGTTGACAGTTTTGCAAAAAATCCCCGCAGGTAATATTGTAATTTTTGATTTTGTTTCTCTGTTTACTACAATCTGTCTCCTTCGTGGGACATTCACCAGTATGTTGGTTATTGCTATTGCTGGCGCGCTCAGTATGTGACCTGTGTCACAATGTCATTGTTTAGACAGTATGTTTTACTGTGATTGGGCTACATGATCTTGTGGTATTTTACGTTTTATTCGTCGCGCTTTGGTGTGGTTAATGGCCAAACTAGAGCATTTGGATGTTTTTTGATGCGTTCTTTATAGGACTTAGTATGGCGGACAATTTCTTGCTTTTCAGTGGGTATTATTAGATCACTACAGACGGGCTTTAGTATTGCCTTGTGCAGGAGTATGTTTTTGCCAGGTAAATCTTTTATCTAAATGCAATCCAAGATATTTCACGGACAATTTCTTGCTTTTCAATGGGTATTATTAGATCAATACAGACGGGCTTTAGTATTGCCTGGTGCAGGAGTATGTTTTTGCCGGGTAAATCTTTTATCTAAGTGCAATCCAAGATATTTCACATGATCTGCCTATGGAACTTTAATGTTATTAAATTTGACTGGAGGACAAGATCCTCTTCTTAAAGTAAACGTTCCATTGACTGATTTTGTTTCGTTTGCTTTTATCCGCTACTTTTTGAGCCAGTGGGATATGCTATTTCGCCCTTTTTGAAGAGTTTGTGAGGCTATTTCCGGGTCACTATGCGCAGCTAGTATGGCAGTATCGTCAGCAAAAGTTTCAGTAGTTAAGGATTCAGATGTCGGCAAATCTGCAGTGAACAGTAAGTAGAGCACGTGGCCTAGTACCCTACCCTGTGAAACTCCTGCTTTTATTGGACGCAGTTCAGACAGTGCTTCCCCATTTTGTTCTGTGAAATGGCGCTGCTGTAGTAACGATTTCAGTTTTCCGTACAGGTGGTCTGGCAGAGCAATTTTTGATTTAAAAGCAATCCTGCATACCACACGTGGTTAAACGCTTGGGATATGACCAGGAATGCACTAGCACAGTAATATTTTGCCTCCAGTGATTCCATGATCTTTTTGGTTAGTCTGTGCACTTGGTCGATAGTGGCATGTTTACTGCGGAACCCAAACTGGTGTTCAGTTAATTCTTTTTCTTTGAGTATATGTAGGATTCGTTGCAGCAGTACAGATTCGTAAATTTTGGATTGAATAGGTAGCAGGCTCATGGGCCTGTATGATTTTGCTTCTTCAGGTTGTTTATCTGGTTTCAGCAGCATTATAATTTGTACGACTTTCCACTCCGGGGGAAAAAACTGTAGTTTGGTCATGGCGTTGAAAAGTGACGTCAGGAAAGTTCTGCCAGATTCTGATAGTTCTTGTAGTATACGATTCGTTATAAGGTCTTATCCTAGTGACTTTTTTGGATTCGTTTTTTCATAATTCAGGCAACTTCAGCCTTTGTAAATTTAAACGGCACTTCCTCCATGTTTGTAGGAATATGTAAATAATTAGGCAGTAATTTCTGCTGCATCTTCTGGAAAACCTTCATATGGGTGAGGAATAAAGACGTTTAAAATATGTTCCGAGAACGTTTCGGCTTTTTGTTGGTCTCTACGTGCCCAGGTACCGTCAGATTTTCTTAAGGGGGAGATACACTAATAGGCCGTTTTAATTTTCTGGTGGCTTTCCATAAAGAATAATCTGAGGAAGCAGTAGCATCCAGGCCAGTGATATAACTGTTAAATCCGTCATTACGATCTTTGTCTAGAATGTGCTTCAGCTGTCTGGTGGCGTGATTGAGCCGTTTTTTCGCCATAGGGTCTCTGGTTTGTTGCCAGTGTTTCCGTATATTCCTTTTTTGGGTTACTTTGTCTACTATGTGTTTCGCTACATAGTTGTCTATACTTCAATGTGGTACCGGTGGGGTTGAACACCAGGCTGCATCTTGCACCTTTTTATTGAAGTATAGGATCGCTTCTGTTATTTCGTCATTTGATTTTAGACTAACAGGTTCCTGGAATGCTTTATCTATGAGCTCTCGAAATAGAGCCCAATTAGTTCTTTTGGTATGTAGAACGCATTTTTTGACGCTTTCTTAGGCGGTAGTGTGTAGTTCTACAATGATTGGAGAGTGGTCTAAGGATAGATCCTAGCAAATCCGGCACGATAACTGTCCGACGTCAAATACGTGTCAGAAAACAATCATTTTGGATTAACAAAATACAAATTATAATAAAATGCAATAACGAAGCTCTAATGAAATCCAGGTATCATGTTGTGTGCGGGCAGAAGAGGACGAGTGCGCCCTGGCTGCGTTCGTCCCATGACCCTGCCCGCGGGGATTCCTAGCTGGCCGGTATGGTGCATTGTGCATTGCCGCCATCGAGAGATCCCGTGACGGCAGTCCCCCTCTTTTAGTTCTGTCCTGCAATGAGGGGGGCGGCGGAGGGAGCTGCACGAGCACGCCCAAGTAGTCCTCCGCATAGGACGGGGGCGGTATGGTGGGCACTAGGCCGCGTACTCGGCCCCCACGCGCGGGGTCCCAGCAATACCTCGGGAGATCCCTGCCGAGGAGCCCCGGCTAGGCCGGGAGGCTGCTGGATGCGGAGACGCGGAAGAATCCCTAAACGTGGATCCCACGGTTTCGCACTAAGCAGCATAAGAGGGTATTCGCAGGGTTTTTTAGCGGATATTATGCCGAAAGCGCCCGTAAGTTACGGGGTCCTCAAAGGGCAGCGGGGGCACGTAAGGCTTGCGGGAGCCAGTTGTGAGGTCCGTTTGCCGGTGTGCCTCTTAAAGGCGCCGTCGTCTGTGAATAGAGGTTATGGCTGCGTCACAAAAAAAGAGGTATCATGTTGTGTGCGTTGACGGAACCGAATTCATACATGCAAAACCACAAAAATTAAAATATAATACTTTCCGATTCTTTACCTAAATTTATATTACAATTTGAGTAAAATCAAGTCGCTGCAAACCTAAAAGCAGTTAAAGACAACTCAGATCTATTTGACAAACATGGCACCCCACCTCTATATGTACTTATTTGCTTTAATAGTATTTACATATTTATACATAGATATGAGATAAAAAATATAGCAGTATTGAGTTTCATTAATATGTTAATTTAAAGTATGATGAAGTCTATTTAGTCCCTGATAGGCGGATTTTACAGCTACAAAATTTTTAAATTTGCCGCTCTTCTCGAGGGTCGCAAATCACGATTCATTAGACAGACTATATCTTGGAAGGATTTATGTCATTGAAAATGACCAGGTTGTTACTCTACTTAGCCGTTTTCTAGATGCTTAGTCAGCAATGATCATGTATGCTTTAAGCAGAATAAAAGACCTTTGTACACTACATGTTAGAAAAAATAAGAAAATCTGTCGAGGCTGTATGGTGTATATATGTGCCTTCCCTTTTACATAATTAGAGAAAAAAACTACGAGCTTGCTTGATTGACTGCGTGTCACGTTTGTTCTGTATTTATGAAAAATAAAAACGCGTTTGGTTTTGTTTTGTGAAAATTTTCATGCGGATTGTTTTTGCACAAAAAAAATATTTGTAATAAAGTGACACCTCAAAGGAAACGATTCGTAACAGTATAATTTGCATATCCGATCAAAAACAACATTTTATCGTTCCTTTTCTACACCTACTGTACTGTGCGAGTGCGACCGTGAAGGTTCAGAATGTTACGTCATTTTGCTTTCGGTGTGTGATATGAACTTAGGTATTTTTTATTTAATACTGTTTAGTGCTTTTTCTATATAATTAGTTTGCCATTGTGATTATTTTAAACCTGTGTAAAATGTTGTAAAGTAATCTAAACATTGGTGCACCGGCTGCGACAAGATGCCGCCATGTTATTTAGTTTTGCTGTCAACCAGTGATCGTGGTTAGCCCTGCAAACTTGGATGTTTTATCATAATCATAACAAGAAATTACGTGAGTTACGTTAAATATTATATTTTTAATAAATTATTTATGGTGTATTTTTTTATAATTTTATGGATTGTCGTCGCAATCCTTGAATGATTTATTGTTTACCATGGAATTGACTGTCAATGTAATGACGTCATTGTATTTAGGTAGGTAGAGCAGAAAAATAAAAATGCGTATTAACCGAATTATCAAAATATTTTATTTGATATGGTTTGTATTAATTTGTGATTGAGGTATAGTTTACACCTATTATTAATCAAGTTACCCTTTAGCCTTGAACATTTATGGATGGAGGTTATTTTTTGTACAATCAACCATACCTTCCAATAATAATAGTTGCTGCTGTGAGTAGTTTTTAGCTGATCAAACTTAATCAGTTTTTCTTAGTGTTCTCATTTATTCTTTAGGTAATTGTAAGTTTATGGTGATTTCATTAAGTTTACATAGTTTGAACATAAATATACTCTAAATTGCTGATGTTGCTTGGAACTTCAGAGATCAACAAGATTAAAGGTCACATTACTAGTAACTGATTAATTTAGTTAAATAATAATGAAATAAAGTTTGAATAAGGCAATGAATGGTACTAAATTCCATTAGTTGTGGTGGAATTTCGGGGTAATTTTGATGTGGGGGGGGGGGGGAGGTGGTCTCCCCGACTCCCCCCAAAGGCACTACAAATTGATTATGATACTAAAGATTTTAGACGGAAATGCATGTTTTTTTTTAATTAACCTAACCTAAAAATTCATATTTTTTTTAAGATGCAAGGACTAGGAAAGTAAGAACCGGTAGTTCTGCCTTATATCCGGCGCTGCGGTAATAGCAGCCCCACCGCCTTTGCGTGACAAAGTCACAAGCATCACTTGCCTTCACACCTTCGGCATGTTGGTCGCACGATGCTTGCGGCTTTGTCACAGCAGGCGGGGGCTGCTCTCCCTACGCGCCTCCTGGCTCTAAAAAACACTCTAGGGGTAGGGCAGACCAAGACCATGGCGTGTTGGGGTTGACCAAATCGGTTCTGAATTAAAGATTGTTGTAAAGCCACATTTACCTTTTTTTCTAAGTGTGGAGCCCATACTATTTCTTATTTACCAAATAAATAATAGCAAATATATTTTTACTAACAAATACAGACTGACTGACATTTCTCAAAAAAAACACAAAACGGCAGGACATCTGTCATTTTGACAATAGTACCAACATAATCAACATATTTTTTACTACAGACAACAAGAAACATGTTATTTCTGCATGAAAAAATGGCAGCACTGATCAAAATAGCTGTCAAAATTGACTTTAACCTACAAAAATATTAATTTTCAATATTTTTTTTTTCTCGAATTCTATTTGTTTCCGCATAAAAAGATTTCGTGTATGTGTTCCTAATAATTAATACTTTCCGTGACAAAAATCTCAGTTTAGTACTCACCACAACTAATGGAAAGCTGATCCCAATGAATCTTTAATGAAAACATTGGTATTTTTTCCCAAGCACATTTTTTTTATTGTGTTAATTACCTATGGAAACTAAACCAAAATTCAAAATATCAATTAAAAGTATAAGAAATTGATTCAAAGGAGGTGTAATGGTTATATATGTGGCAAACTTCTTGAGCAGGGAACTTAGACATGGAAGCCTGCGCAGTAGTAATTTTACAAACAAAGTATTTACGGCGAAAGATTATTTGTCTATGGTAACACTCAAGGAGTTTGCTGCTAATTATACCTATTTTTGGGTCTACCTTGTACTGCAGAACTTTTAATGTCATAATATTACTTTGCATATCAGCAAATTTGCATGAATTTTATTTTGCAGGATATCATTTAGTATTTACTCATTTACCAGACATTCAAACACATGATTGTTTAAACCAGAATCATCTTTATATCCATAATAATTAAAAAGCAGAACCATCATATTGCAGAAAGTTCGCAGTCAGAATTTTTTTTTTTGCATACAAATATTTAACTTCTATTTTATTTCTTTATCTTATAATCAGTTGGCTGGCACTGACACTAACCTATCTTACTACAAATCCACTGATTACATACACCGAATATGGTTATCCAAATAATGCAGAATAAAATTTTGCACAATAAATTTATGCAAATCAAAAAAATATACCATAAAAGTAATCATTTAATGAAGTTGATGCCAAGTGTTTTAAGCCAAAAGAATTTGGGAACAACAAGATCCTGCCAGGTAGAGGTAGCCGCCCTATTTAACCTATGTTAAATTTGCATGGTTGCAATCCTTGTATTTGGATAAAATATTTTGTTTAAAGTCACTTTAAGAGTATTATTAAAATACATTGTCAATTATGCCCTTTATTAGGAACTCTCATACTAGGTATGTAACCAATATAATGCCAATTTAAGTGAGTAATGGGTGTTACAAGTTTTCATAATTTTAAATAACTAGCTGACCTGGCGTACTTAGTACTGCTTACAAAATTTGGAAGAAATGAAAGCTGTCCTTTTGACAGGAATATAGCTTTTAGCATAGCTAGCAACTGTTTGGAGAAATCTTCTGTAGATTGATTGATCAGCAATGTAACTCATATTTACTGCCAGCTGAAAATTTATTACATGGCACTATAAATTGATTATGATGTCATTAGGTCTTGCTCATGATCATAACTACACAGACAACCACTGTGCATGCATGGAGAATGGTCAATCGGCCACCATTAGCTGCATTTCAAAGCGGTTAAGATTGGTTTCCAGGTCTTTGCCCAATATTCTCCAAAAACAGTCAGTCCCTTAGTCGTCCCTTACAACTTACTGGGAAATTAAGATTTATGTCATGTTGAAATAAAAACTAACACAATTTAAGCATTATATCTGTCACTCTAGATTTGTGTATGCTATTTTCCTGCAATTTTTGTTACATTTCTTTATAAATCTAGAATAACATTGATTTGGAGTGAATGCCAAACAAATAATGTCAATTAACTCATGAGTGCAGTGGCGTAAGTTGTCAGTTGTGGTAGATGGCAGAATAAACATTTTAATATTAAAAATATTTTAAGCATTAATTTATTCCATAACTTTTCTAAAATTTTCTTATACACAAACCTTGTCCTAGCTATAAATAAAAAAGCATTTTCTGATTTGGTTCAGTTGTTTTGGAAGTGATGCGCATACATACTTTTCAACATTTAAAATTTGTATATATAGATTCCTTTTCAGACTAAGTGAGATAGAGACTCAAAAAAGTAGTAATAGAAGTATATGATAGTAGATATTTGCTAATGTTTTGAGGTTGCACATATCTACTCAATTTATGGCTTACATTAAAATAAGTGTGCACAGACCACACATCTGAAGTGAAACTTCTTTTCATATATAACCTAACATTAGGTGGTGCATAAGGCATAGGGGAATAGAGCGGGCGCGCATCACTCATATTGAAGTATATATATATATTGGTGCATGTGAAGCTCGTAGCATTTCAGCCTTCGCCGAGTTAATGCCCTTCTACACGGTCGGGATCGACCGCCGACCATCGTGTTCTTGGCCGGGTTGATATAAAAATGGACAGTGTATAAAACGGTTGACTCGACCAATATTTGGTTTATGTCAACGGCCTTGGTCGCGAGCGCATCTTGTAATAATAAAAAATAAAAATTTAAATGGTTGTGATAATTACCTTAAAACGGATAGGCCGAAATTAATTAAATTGAATACTCGGGCGCCAGGCCTACCACATTAGCCGGGAAAGCATGAACTATTAATCGCAAAGGGGCTGAATGCAAATCCATACTCATTTTGGGTTGTCGATATATTGAAAATTACTTAAAGTCCAAAAGGGTTAATACTAAATTTAGAAGCTATGATATATTAAGACTCTTCTGAGAGGTTCTGGTACAGCTATAAATTTTGAATGTTGCCAACCTCACCATACCGCTTACCGGTATTGGGACGATTGGTTCAGGACCTGTTGGGGTCGTATCAGATCCCTTCCGGACCAGCTCATCCACAGCGTCGTTTCCGCGTGATCCACTGTGTCCCTTGATCCATTGGATGGTAATAGAATTGCTTGACCCTACCTTGTTTAAGGTTTGGTGGCATTCTTGTAGGAGGCTCGATCTGACTAAACAGGCATCTAGAGCTTGTAGGACTGATTTACTGTCGGACAGTATTCGTATTTCCTGACCTGTTACCTTTCTTGAAAGGATCGCTGTTGCCGCCAGTGTGATGCCCATACATTCAGCTTGGAACACTGTGTTGTATGGGCTTAAGGGGAACGCGATGTGTATGTTGAGGTCCTCAGAGAAAACACCCGCGCCCGTGCCCGATGAGGTTTTAGAGCCGTCGGTGAAGATCATGAGAGCCTTGTGTGTTACCTTTGGATCGTTGTCATCCAGTAGATGTATTCTGTACTTTTTGTCAAATATGAAGGCGGGTATTATTTTGTCACATGCAACATCTATGAGCGGAGTGTTTACCCATTCCTTCAGTATACCGTTGAGATACTTTGCTCTTTCGAACCTTACCAGTCCAAACTTTTGTAGTCTCAACGCTGTTTTAGCCGCTTCCTGTCTTATGTAGATATGGAGCGGTGTGATGTTTAAAATAATTTCCAGTGCTGCGGTTGGAGCTGTACTCATGCACCCGGTCACCGCGCTGCATATCTGCCGCTGGAAGCTTTGTAGTTTGTTGACACAAGTAGTCTGGATAGATGTCGGCCACCATATGATGGCGCCATAAATTGGTCGTATGACTGTGTAATATAACCATAGGAACAGTTTTGGTGCAAGACCCCAGCGCTTCCCTAACATTTGACGGCATTGCCAAAGTGTTACGCTGGCTGTCTTGATTTTGTGTTCCACATGGTTACTCCAGTTTAGCTTACTGTCAAGTATAAGGCCTAGATACTTTACCTCCTTCGACAGTTGTAGTGTGATACCAAACAGCTTCGGCAAGTTGAAAGCACCTACGTCACGTTTGGTTGTAAACATTACCAGCTCTGTTTTTGTTGGATTAACTGTGAGGTC